CCATACCAACAGTAATGCTACCCCATGCAAACAGACTCAATGCCATAAAACGAGTCGGACCGATGAAGTGCATGAGAAGATTGCTCGGAATCACAAAAAGAGACTAGAATAATAAGTCATCAGGAAGCACACTCCGATAAAACAGGGTCATTGACTAACATAGGAAAGGTAAAAGAGTGAAACGGCCAAACCATTCTCTTTGTTTGACATCTGCAGATCGGTTCTAAAGCCCATCAACTTAGTGTGGCCTGAAAGAATATTATCAATGGCAAATTATTCAATTGAAAAACACCTACCCATGCTCACTCGGTTGATAAACGAACTAATTTCCTGGAGAATAAAAGAGGGTAACAATCTTCGATCGAGTTTACAAACCAACCGACGTATAGCATTGGCGTAGAATCGTTCCAAATGAGTCTGATTGATCACAGAAATGTTGTCACTCGCTGTCAGGATTGACAATAGTGGTTGTTTATTCCTCGATATTACCAGCGCACTCATAGTCGGTAATATAGATTTCCTTTGAAGCTTGTATCATCATCCATTTCTTTATAAGGAGTCTCGTTTTTTTTTCTGATTTTTCTTTCTATGAAGGACTTTTCTGTTCTGAGGAAAGAATCGATTAATGTCTGCTTAAATAGAAGAGAAAAAGGGGTCATGCAGAATATTGAATTAATTAACTTTCTTCTCGAGTAGAGTTGACAAAAAATTTCGACCGTTCTCACCCAAAAAATTCGATATACCTGCAGCGGAAGTAGACTGATCCTTTCAATTCTAATCGCTTGCGTACACTGCTTGATATGTTGATGTGAGAGTATACAGTGGTGGACAAAATTTTTTCTACGATTTTATATTAAGTGTAACTCTGTTAGAAAGGGTGTCGGTGTGGGTGTAGATTGCATAAAGACTACACCCATACCCACCCACACCCTCCCTCAAGCGTTCAAACACTCACAATCAGAAAATTGTTTTAACAGTTTCTATTGCTTTGCTACATCGTCATGAATTTCGAACTGTTGTTCATCATTTTATACCAATTCCATATTCGTGTCTATAAGAAAAAAAAATTATTTTTTACAATCTATCATGTATCGGCACAAAAAGTCATCGGCAACATCAGAAAAATAAAGGAATGTTAATGCGTAGAAGTGAGAGAATTATGTACTTTTTTGTACAGTAAGTATTCAAAACTCCTGGAAAAGTTGCTGTTGTTTTCTTTAACTATGATATTTGAAAGATATTGATCGATTTTTGATTTAAACGAAGTTACATGGTAAATTATTCAGAAAAACTCCACTAGTGAGAAATATAATGTATGAAATTTGGTGCATATAAAATGAGTATAGCCGCAGAAAACGCAGTATTATTTTCATACAAAGAAATATTTGTAATAGATGAATTATTTTTTATTAATTTAAAAAAGATGTTTGATTAAATTTGATCCCGATTAATAACATGAGTATTAGTAAATAGGTCATAAGTATTTCTGTTTGCCGTAGGTGCCCATCGCCCATCCCATGCATAAAAATATGTTGTCAAATTAAATTGATTTTGTATTGCAATTGGCCTAAATTTTGAAATATTTGTGAATGAATTTTTTGAAAAAAAATGTTTACCATAGTCCATAATCAAAATTTCCATTGGCATTAAGTGGACCAATTTCACTTAAACCAAATGGTTTATTTAATTGAATCATTTCATAATATCCATTCATTAAACTCTAAAATAAATAAATTTTCTATGAAAACAAAAAAAAGACGTCTCATACAGGATTATTAGTATAAACATCAAGTGCAACAATATCAACATAATTATCACCAGGATAATAGATTGATGGATTTCCAGCACCTTGATCTGGTGCATATACCCATAAAATATTATGTAAACCTTTTTCCGTAGTAAAATAATCAAATACGGATATCCAAACTTGTTTAAATAGTGATGGATCCTATAAATAGATTCATTATGATTACATATATAAAATATTCTCTGAAAACCTGTTTTCCCCACCAAAACCATCCTCCATTCATTTCATGGAATAATCGGTATAAAACTGTAACATTGGATTGCTGTAAATCATTTAAACCTGCAGCAACAATATCAAGATAGGATTGCCATCGTTTACCAGTTTCTGTTGACACATTTAATAATTCTGTAAAAGTTAAATTTAAACGATTTCTTATATTTCCTCCGTTAGGTGATACGGGGTTTGAATAATGTGTATTAATTTCAATGAATCCTCCGCTATTCGAATGATCTTTTAAAAATGAATTACATGAATAATTAATAAGTGTTTGTGGTGGTATTGCTTGATCCCATTCATTGCAATAATCACATCCAATTATTGCTGGAACATGACCAGTCAAACTTGCGATTGCATTTATTTTACTCATATTAAAAGTAATACCACTAACTCCAGTGAATTGACCAGAAAGATATTTATCTTTTCATTACAAAAACTTAAATAAAGATTCTCTCCCGGACAAAAAAATTTAAAAAATGCAAACATCACATTTTGTTCATATTGTATTATCATATAGTTAGTAATATATGAGTACATAACTATCTCAGTACACTACACAACTGTAGACGTAATTTGATTTCTTTCTTGATTGTTTTTCTTGTTTTCAGTTTTTTGAAAAGTGGGCAAAAATGAAGTATTTTAGTGATGTTGAACATGACCCAATAATAATGAATAGAATGGAAGAATGAAAGAAATTAGAAATAATACCACAAGAGTATACATGTCCATTTTCAGCAATTAATAACCCAATATCTGCTTGCAATCAAATAGAACAGAGAGAATTTGCGATAGATGCAACGATCATGACACACATATGACAACAGGGGTATGATGGGAATATACTTGTTTCTCGAGAAGCACTTAAGCTACAACATCCAGATTTTAACTGTAGAACGTATGTATAGGAAGGAACTTGTTATATTAATTGAAAATCTTATTCTATTCCATTTTCCAAAAATCGATTAAATTGATTTTCACACTCCAAGAATGGTTCATGTGACTTTCATATAATTTGATCTGTTTTTGGAAACTTGGCTACAATGAGGATTTAAAGTCACACAATCGGTTTCTCTCTACGTAGATATTCTATAGCCAAACTTTGGATGCCGTAGTCAAATATCTTAAACAATCCGTTTTCATATGACCTTCTAATTACCATGAAAATAACGAATGTTATTTTTATCTATTTTTGAAAAGAATATAAAAACAATAAAAACAATAAAGAATGAACTCAAATTATATATGTAGTTATGCAGTTATGTAGTGTAATGAGATACCTATGCAATTATATGCTACTAATTATATGATAATATAGTCTAAGCAAAATGTAAGGTTTGCATTTTTTAAATTCTTTTTGTCCGAGGGAGATTCAATATTAAATAGACATACTTTGCATTGGTAATCCTGATATATAACTAAGAGTTTCTATTGTTCTAGCATTAGCTTCTGAATCTGCAGGTTGTTGACCATTACACAAATTTGACACTATTGAAACTATAAGAATATTTCGAAGAATATACATTTTATTAACGAATATATTTGTTGTTTTCAGTTCTATCGAATATATATATATATCGAAGCATAGGAGATTTTCATATCGATTTCATCTATTTAATACTTGAAGAAAAAAATATCACGAGTTACCCAAACAGATGAATCTCAATTTATATTTCATCTATTGATATTCAATTTTGTCTTTGTATTTTCAAGAACAACAACTAAGCTTCTCAAGATAGATTTCAAATTTAATTAAATATTTTTATTGATTTCTCTCATAGAGTGCATTTATACAAGAGCATTGTCCTTAAAATATATTATCAACAATAATGTCAGATTAGTTCTATTAGATATGTGGGAAACAGTTTTTCGCTATACTAAAAAAATGACAAGCGCGCCGGATACTTTTATATAAAAGTGAGTGCACTTATCTGTAACAATTTGAATTAGGGATGCAACAGGGTGTGGGGGTGTGTGTGTATTGTCTTCACATGCAGTACACCCACACCGGTACCCACATCCTACTAACCCATTTTGTGAAACACGATCTAAAAGGAGTGTTGAAGTGTATAGGGGTAGATACTTACACACACACACATAGACGTGACAGACATAATTTTAAAAGAAACATGGTAAAACTTAAGATACCCCTAACTTGTCTTCTGTCCACACTCAATCTAACATTATATAGTACAAAAATCTAAACACAACTTATTGATACATATTGGGGGTGTACAGCTCACGTTTAGGGTGAGCGCAAGCGAAAACCTCTCACAAGCGCTCATGAGCCTAAGCTGTACACCTCTAATACATATAGTGCCGTCGACTAACTATCATCTGACTTCAAAAACAAAAGGGATACTATGGAAAATTAAATGGATCAAGAAAATATTTTAAAGAACATACATTGTTAGTTTATTAAAAAGTTTTAAAAAGATCGAAGTCATTACACCAACTGAGAGTTTTTCGCTACGATCAACTAGCATACAAAGATACAAAGACAAAACTAGTCTCCTATTTTCAACAAAATTGTTCTAATGTTTGACGATTTATCGACGACTTCAAAGAAGATACTACCTCATAATTAGAATAAAACATTCTTTTTTATTACAATAGTATTTGCAATCAACACTACAGTAATTAATAAGCAAAAAGAAAACATTTAGTGTTAATCTGTTTATAGACGTTGATATAACTCAGCACCATTTCGAAAATGATTATGATTGTTTCCACCAGCAACTAGCAGTGTTCCATCAGTTAACACAGATGCTGTGTGGTGTTGTCGTGTGTTATTTAAGTTGCTAGTACTGGTCCAAATACCCGTTGATGAATCATAGAACTCAGCAGTACTTAATATAATACCACTATTATCTTGTCCACCAGTAACTAATACTCTTCCATCGTTTAATACGGATGCTGTGTGCCCATATCGTGCATAACTTAGGTTGCCAGTGATGGTCCAACTACGTGTTGATGGATCGTATAACTCAGCACTACTTAAGACACCATCACCACCCAATCCACCAATAACTAACACTTTTCCATTAGTTAATACGGATGCTGTGTGCCAGTACCGCGCGTAATTTAAGTTGTAAGTAGTAGTAGTCCAAGTTCCTGTTGATGGATTATATAACTCAGCAGTATTTATATAACCACTTTTACCTTGTCCACCAGCGACTAACACTGTTCCATCGATTAATACGCATGCTGTGTGCAACTGTCGTGCACGATCTAACTTACGAGTAACAGTAGTCCAAGTTTCTGTTGATGGATTATATAACTCAGCACTATTTAGAATAGAGCCGTTACCCACGCCACCAGCAACAAACACGGTTCCATCGTTTAATACGGATGCTGTATGCCCATATCGCGCATTATTTAAGTCGCCGGTAGTGATCCAAATACTTGTTGATGGTTCATATAACTCACTACTAGATATAAAGCCACCACTACCTGATCCACCAGTAACTAACACTTTTCCATTAGTTAATACGGATGCTGTGTGCCAAAGACGTTCATTATTTAGGTTGCCCGTAGTAGTCCAAGTACCTGTTGATGGATCATATA